CACCTTCGCGCCGACCGAGGCCACGAAACTCAACGCCGACAACAAGTCCGCCATCGAATTGTCCAAAGACAATGTTCTGCACGCACGCACCAAGCACATCGATATCCGCCATCACTTCATTCGCGAATGCATCGCCGCCGAGACCATACGACTCGAATACTGCCCCACTGACGTCAATTCGGCCAACTTGTTCACCAAGGCCCTCGCACGCGATCGTTTTCAATTTCTTCGGACGCAACTCGGTATCCTCCCAGTACAGAGTTGAGGGGGAGTGTTGGAATATTGCGGGCACGCTGTCTTTGTACCCTTTGTCACGCGCTTGACAGGCTGTCAAGCGTCTTCTCTATTATGCGGATCCTCTACTCTACGCTTTGCTAGTCTACATCATGTATATAAGCTACGGCTTCTTTTCCCTCGATCATCATCCTTCCCTGCTTCTCAGCTTCTCTCTCTCGTGTGAACTCTAACAGTACCTATTGTCCCTTGCTTGGTCAGAGTCTTCTGACTCGTGCCCTGCCTTCTGACCTGTCACATGGCATCCTCATGACTAACACCTGAGTCATGCTAAGTCCGGGCTTCCTCCGATGAGTAAGCCCCCCTGCAGACGCGTGAGTCACCTGCCAGTGAATGAGGCTGGGCGCTCCTGGACCCCACAAGGTCCTGGGTTCGATCCTGGCTCCTCCACTTTCCGATACGAGTTGTCTGTGGTCAAGGTGAGCATCCCTCCTGGTTCACATGACCCCCTGGTCACGTGGCACGAGAAAACTGTGACAATGCCACAGGATCTGTACCTGCAATAAGTGTCGCTCCTAAATCAAAGAACGCAAGTCCGCATGTGTTTACGAGGTTGCGGAGCACCCAGTGCCCTCTGTGTGCGTGGAACTCATTATACAAGACGGTCAGTCCAGCGAGAGCAATATTTGCATAGACCGCTTCCGCACTGTACATTGCAGAGAGGACCAGGCATGCTGGGACTATGTACCAGCGGAATTGAAGGGCTTCCTGCAGAGATCTGCGCTTTGCTGGAAGGGGTCTATAGTTTTTGTTCTGTTCGTCTTCATATGGATCCATAGTCTGATTGGAGAGGTCGCATTGGAGGAGGTGAAGCCACACCCAGAAAAGGACATGGGGTAGACGAGAAACATTCCTCAAGGGTGCCGACGCGGAAGCCAATAAGCTCTACAATATTGTCACAAGGATGCCTTGTGATCGATGAGAGGTCACTTACAACCGGTATCAATGTCGTCTTGATATCTGACTTGGTGAAAAGAAGGCATGTGTAGAGGAAGTATCGTGCCTTCCTTAGACCGCTCATTATAGACAAGGACATTCTGTAGAGTGGTAAATCTGGTCTTGGCCTTCGATATGTGTTGGAGATTGGTTTATAACTTCTCTCTGTCGCTAATTTGATTGGCGCTGCAACACGAGTGAGTTGGAATATCTCTGCATATCATGACAGAGTGGAACACATCGGGGCGCCACTATATGCTGCTAGATTCGGACCACCTGTGAAAATAGAAACTCATTCATAGTCATGCATGTGTCTATTACAAGAATGACGATCATAATGCAGATATTGTAGGATATGCGTACTGCTAGGTCGAAATGCTTTACAAACAGCAGTTTCGGAAGAGTACTGCTGCTGCCAGTGTGACATATGTTTCAAGGAATCATGCTATCCATAAACACCCATGTGTTAGAGCGCTCAGCTGGTATGCAATGTGCATGGGTAGTTCGGGAGCGTACAGTAATAGTATGTCAGTGTCGCGGCGACTAGGCGCGTAGACTCGGGTCGACGTTCGGCGATGACCCCGTGGGCGAGCGGCAAGGAGCCGAAAGGAAAGGAGAGAGATAGGGAGGGATGAACGTAGCAAGAAACTCGACGGGGGTAGAGCGGAGGTTGGCACGAAGGCACAAGACCTGCGAAAGCTAGTCTTCACGCAGACAGCGACAGACTAGTCCCAATGACCAAGTTATACATTAGCAGACGAAGGGAGATACACGCTATGGCCACTCACCTAGTCTCAATGACCAAGAGGTCGAGATGGGGACTAGGGAGTGCCTAAGGAGGTCCTTATATACTCGAGGGGCTGCTTAGCAACCAAAGACAAGGCGCGAGAGCGAGGCAGTGAAGATGACAAAGGAAGAACAAAGGGTGAGAACAAAAAGGCAAGGGCATGGCGATCACGGGAACGTAGCATGCGGCTGTGGGAACGTATCTACAGTGTCCAAACTGGGATGGGCTAAGAAAGGAAACGGTCCGAAAATGGAAGGTGGGCGTCAAGGGGAGGGGAATGGGCGGCAAAAAGGGGCGTCTGTCCAACGTCCGTGACATTACCCCCCTCCTAAGGTCCGTCGGTCCCCGACGGACCTTAGGCCGGGGTGTCGTCCGGAAGCCCATTCGAGGTCAGAGGGTGCGGCAGCGGTGAAGTTGACAAGGGGTTGCCAGGGGAGGGATCGGAAGATAGAGGCTGCGATCCGACGTGGGGCGGTGGGGTTACGTTCGTGAAACTCGTCGATCAACTCTTGACAGTGAGTGAGGTCCTTCGCCGGTTCCCAACTGTTCTGGCCTTCATCGTATCCTTTCCACTTGACCAAATACTGGAACTGGTTGCGGTAGGTGCGGCTGT